TTCATTTCAGAATTGAAATTTGGATTTGCTAAATGAAGATATTCTCCATTTCAGATTTGAAATTTGGTTTTGCTAAATGAAGATTCTTTTCATTTAAGATTCACAATTTGGATTTGCTNAACAAAATTTACCTGAGAAAATTACACAAAAAAATTAAAAAGGTTGTTTTTCATTTCAATTTTTTTCCTTGTTGTTGTTGTTGTTTTCGATGTCGTTGATGATGATGATGATATTGCTCGATACACAACAACAACAACAACAACGTAAAGCTCATTTCACTCTCACATCGTATAAAAAAAAAAAAAAAAAATTGCAGATTTTTTTTTCTTTTTCTTCTTCTTCTGAGAGAAAACGAAAGTTGCACTGCAACAAGCAACCAGTCAAAACATAAAGCTCGTGTTTTGATTTTTGGAAAAAAATCAATCAATCAATCAAAAATCGATTTGATGATTACGAAACAAACACAGATTACGGTTGATGATGATCATTGATGCAAACGTTGTTTATGAATTTTTTTTTCTTCTGTTTTTTTGTTGTTGTTGTTGTTGTTGTTAATTAATGAGCAACAACAGCAACAACAACAACAAAACATATGATGAATTCTACCATCATCATCACCATTATCATCAAAGAAAACTTGCAGAAGCAGTGGTAGCAGCGGTGGTCAAAGTTGTCTTCGACGATCGTCACATCAAATTTTCTAAGATCGAAAACACCCACAAAGTTGAAGCAATTTTTTCACCTCCCCCCAAAAAAAGAAAATTTACCTTTTTTTCACACCATAAGAAGAATCTTTGAAAACCGATCCAGAAAAACTTGGATGTTTTAGCAGCTCAAAACATTTTGCTGCTGCTGCTGCTGTTGTTGACATATATCATTATCACGAAACAAACAAACAGAAAACAAAAATCTCTTTTAGTTTAGTCACGACTTTCTTTCACGAGTGCAATTTATGATTTGGATCAATTTTTTTTTTTGGAGCAGCCGTACGAAAATTGCACTTGGGAAAAAAAATTCCAATTGGAACAGACGATTAATGTTCTTTTTCTGTTTCTGTTGATTCGGTGCATTTTTTTTTTTGTTTGTCGACAAAAAAAAGGCAAGCAATTTTTCCCCTCCCCCTCCCCCAAATGCTGCAACAATGACATTTTTGTTTGTCAAGAAATTTCAAATTTTACCTGTGTTCCTGTCGACCAGGTGTGTGTACCTAGCTTGCTGACCTGACCTGACCTGGTCATTTTGTGTCCACAGTTCGACTTGACCTTTTGATAGATTAAATCAGAATAGCAGGGACCTTTACCTTATCTCTGGACTACAGGTATCAGTGGTAGTGGTAATTGAATTTTTTTTTCACAGTTTTGTCGTTTCCTCCCTCCTGAATCTTTTTTCTGGAATCTTAATTAAATTTTAATTGAAAATTTTTTTTTTGAAACTGAACTGAACAGAAAATTGCCAGGGAAACATTCGATCAGATTAATTGCAATTTTTTCCAATCCCGCCCACTCGCAATGTGTGGGTGGCAACCGGATAATTTTTTGTTACGAAATCAACCCAAAAACCCGAAAAAAAACCCCAGTTTTTCTGATAATGAAAAACAAACAAACAGATCGAGTAAAAAATTTGATCCTGAAAAAAAACAATATGATTATTTTATTATTTTATTTAAAAAAAAAAAATCTAATCTAGTTCAAGGTAAAAGTTTCTTTGCAATTTATTTATGTTTTTGTCATCATTATTTTTTTGGATGACCCTGGGATGCATTCGTTCGAATTTTCATTTTCATTCGAATTTTCCTTCTTCGAAAAGCTATTTTCACATTGGTGGTTTGTGTGCCGAAATATCGTTAATCAAAGATTATTATTTCGGCACCAAAACGACGTTATTTCGTTTGTTTTGTTCTGTTTGGAAAAACTGCAAATCATTTCATTTTTCGATAAAATTAAATTTTTTCATTGTTCCAACATGACCATCATCATGATCAATTTGTTGTTTTGTAAAGATTTCAAGGTTGCAACAGCAACAAAATCGGCTTTACCTTGTCAATTTTGTTAGTTTTGATGTAATAATAATAATCACCAATCACTAAACCATTTGAAAATTACAAAAAAAAAGTTTATGTTTTCAAATAAAAATAAAAACTATTTTTTCAATGTTACCAATGAACAAAAGTAAAAGATATGGCTTCTTTGATCATCATCAAAGCCTGTTCATAAATATCGTGATCGAGTTTTAAAAGGAAATGATGTTTTTTTTCGAAGGAATTTTTTGGAATCCGAAGAAATTCTTTGGTTTTTTTTCTGAATGTTGTTCATGCTGGAATCGAAAGATGAAAAAATCATTCAGGTGCTCAAAAAAAAACAGGCTGAAAATGTTAGCTTCACTGCAATACATTTCTGTTTGTTTGTTTTTTACGATATTCACGATTCTTGGATATATCCATCCATTGATAATAAATTCATTCCTTTTTTTTCGATTGAAAAAACGCCATCTTTTGATCGAAATAGTTGTTCTTGTTCCATATAATGACAATGGTCATAATGGATCGAAAGATTCTCGCTTTCAAAAGATGATGCATTTACGTTTATGATAAACGTGATATCATTGGTCATCATTGTGACTATCCCCGATCACGTATGAAATTTGATTCGAATATGTACACGTTTTGATGGCAGTGTGTTGATGTCAGTCTGTCCATCTTTCGATGTGTGTGTCCGAATGGAATCCATTGCGTGTACACGGGTTGAATGACGAGTTTTCTTATGTTGTTGTTTTTGTTTTTGTTGTTTACTTCTTCGTTTGTTGATCAACAACATTCGACCGATGACGATGATGACGACGAAATCTTTTTATTTGATTTGATCGAAAATTCCTAAAGAAAACCATTAAAAAAATTCAAATGATAATGGCCGATGGAGCCGAAGAAGGGTATGTTGTTTTTGTTTTTGTTGAAATTTTTCAAAAATTTTCATTTTTTTTGTTTTCCAGAAAAATTTTTGTCGGCGGTCTTAGCTGGGAAACAAACGAAGGTTTGATTCGGTGAAGTTTTTGTTTCGATTCAATTTTGTTAATTTTCGTTATTCTTCCAATTGAAATATAGAAAAATTACGTAATTATTTTGGTGAATTTGGTAATGTAACCGAATGTTTAGTGATGAAAAATCCGGAAACAGGAAAATCACGTGGTTTTGGTTTTGTTTCATTTTTAGAACCAAATTCTGTACAAAAAGTTTTGGATGTTTCAAATCATCAATTAGATGGCCGGACTGTAAGTTTTTCAGGGCATTTTTCGTTTTTTTATTCAACTTTGTTTCTGTTGTTGTTGCAGATTGATCCAAAAGAATGTAATCCACGTACAGCATCTGCAAAATTTCATAAAGATTCAAATAATAAACAAGCGAATTTATCGAAAATTTTTCTTGGTGGCTTACCACCGAATATAACCGAAACAAATTTGAAAGAATTTTTTAGCAAATATGGAAAGGTAACCGAAGTAATCATCATGTTTGATCAGGAAAAGAAAAAATCCAGAGGTTTGTTTTTTTTTTGTTTTTTTTTTTGATTTTTAATTTCTAGTTTTAAATTCTTGAAAAAATCATCTTCGATTTTAATTTACGTTAACGTTTTATAATTAAAATATTTAGTTTATAACTTTTAAATTAGAAATAATCATTATATTAGATGTTTTTCCGATTTAACCCTTTTTTAACTTTGTATTTTTTCTTTGTAAATTAATTTTAAATTTTTATTTTCTTTAAATTTTTTTCTTGACCACTATTTCTACTCGAAATGATTTTTTAAAAATGATTGTTTTTTTTAAAATATAAATTGCACCCATGAATCGCTTACCACCACCACCACCGGTTGCTTGTGATTTTGATGATTTTAGGTTTTGGATTTCTTTTGTTCGACAATGAAGATTCGATTAATAAAGTAGTTTCCGAACATTTTGTTACCATCAATGGCAAACAGGTTATTATATCTCTATAAATATTTATTTTTATTTATTTTTACTTCTAAAATAATCTTTAAATAATTAGTGTGTTTGTATTTGTAAATAATAATTTTCTTTATAATTACTGTAATTAATAATAATAATACTGATAATAATAGTGATAATATGCATGTCATCCCTTTTTTAATTATTATAATTATTATAATTAGTATAATTAAAATCTAGTTATTAATTAATTGTAAATTAATTATAATTATAATTTTAGTTGATAATAATAGTAATTAATAATTGTTGATGTTAATCTTTTCTGTTTGGTTACACATCTGTGTGTGTGTGGATATAGATTTATTTTTATTTTTCTTTTCTTTTTTTCTGAAAAACCTATCAGGTAGAAGTAAAACGTGCCGAACCACAGCCAAATAAATCTGGAACACCAGTACCAAATGGTTCACCACATCATCATGGTGGTATGATTAGTGGTCAACCATCGATACCTGTTGCCGGTATTGTTCCGGGTACAGGTATTCCAACGATGCCTTATTTTTTAACACCACCACCACCACCACAATCATGGCCACAAGCATTATGGCCCCAGACACCTGTTGCTCCATCTCCATCAATGATGAATGGTGGTATATCTAATATATCCGGTAATAATTTTCATCAAACATCACCTGTTGTTGCTGCTGCAAATTCTATTGCATGGAATCCAGTAACAGCTGCAGCTGCTGCTGCAGCAATAGCTGCAACAGCCGCTACTGGACCACCAACAGCGGCAACAAATTGGGCTCCATATGGATCATATCCAACATTTCCACATGGATGGCCAATACCAATACCTACCGGTAATGTCAATATGCCTAGTCTATATGGTGGTAATCTGCCACCATCATCAACAACCCCGATACCAACACCGATTGTATCAATGCAGCAACAACAACCGCCCCCATCGATAACACCGCATCAACAACATCATCATCCAGCAATGATACCATCTCCTTCCGTAATTGGACATACATTTCAACAACAACAACATCAACCACCGCAACAAATAACAAATTTTCTTCCACCAACATCACCAATTCATCATAATAATAATATGATACCAATGATGAATCCTCATTATCATCAAGCTAATGGTGGTAATTCGACTATTTCAACAGCCGTATCAACAGCAATTATTCCAAATGCAATTGGTCAAACTTGTAAGTTTTTCTATTGAAATCCAATGATCATTCATAAAATCGGTTTTTTAATCTTTCGATACCACCAAATATAGCCATTGGAAATTATCATCATGAAACAAATAGCTATAGTGTTTCGCAAACACATCAACAACAACCTGTTGGTGGTATGAATATAGCCAATATTTATAGACCGCCACCAACAATATCGACCGACACTAATTATCAATATCCTTTACCTGTTACATTGAATAATAATAATACTCATCAGCAACAGCAATATCATCATAATCCAGTAGCAGCAATAGCAAATTCAATGAATGTAACAGTACCATCATCATCATCATCAGCACAATCGATTCCTTCAGTATCATCTGATTATATCATTAGTGGTAATGGTAATGGTAGTGGACCGATAACAACAATGATAAAATCACCAAATATGATTAGTGGTGTTATTAATCCAATTAATGCATATAATAATCAACAGCAACAACAACAATCATTTCATGGATCTCGAATGAATTTACAATCGCAATCACAGCAACAACAACAGCAATCATCAACAATGCAGAATCAAAGTTATCATCCATATAGACGATCTTAATTTTCTTGGAATAGAATTTAGTTATATATTTTTGTAAACATTTTGTTGTTGTTGTTTTCGGATTTGTAATAAGAGTTTTATTTCATTTGTTATTTTGATCCAGAATCCACTGTCTTTCGTTTTTTTTGAATATGTTTTTTTTTCTACAAACAAACGAAAGCCACGCATTTTGCAGAGGATTTCTCTGCGTTTTTTTCTGTTTGTAAAATTAAAAAAAAAGATTTTTTTTTTGTAATTAAAAAAGTGAAATTACAAGTTTTGTGTAATTTTATTTATTTCAAAATATCAAAATTATAAAAAAGGAGAGAAAAGCTGTTGTTGTTTCGATTCTCTTTGATTTGTTTAAAGTTTAGTTTTAGCAAAACCAACTCGTTGTTTACCATAATCAAATTCAGTATAATAATAACCGATAAAAACATCACCCAAAATCCAAAGATTACCAATTTGATCGGGTAAACCGATAAATGATGATATACAAACTTTTTGTCCCATTGTTTCCATTTTCATAACATATTGTTCAGGGGTTAATGGAAAATTTTTACCACCAATTTTGAATATAATATTCGGTAGATTATCAATCGTCGAACAATTAAATGTATAGATTCCTTTGATTGGACCAAAAGCACCCAGTGCTTTATTCAGGTGATCAATTTCTTCATGTGGACCACCAATCAATGATGTACCTGTATCAGCAATCGCTTGACAACCATATTCACAAAGATGACCAACAATTTTATCATTTTTATTTTCAATATTTACTGATGACATATTAAATTGCCAATAACCAATTTTACTCAATGGTACATAGGTAAATTCACCTTCATAATAATTTGGATCCGAACCACCGAATATAATTTCACCACCAATTTTTCCATTAACATCACGATTTAAATAGAATGAAAATACTGGATCTTTTACCAAACCTTGTTGGACCATATTACCGAAAACAGTTGGCACTTGATCTTGGCTTATTGTTTCAAAACCTAAACCAAGAATACCATCAAATTTTGCAAAAATAAACGTAACGCCTGGTTCTTTAACAGCTTCGGCAAATGTTTGATTTTTAACACTTATTTCACCAATTTGGAGTGTATCGGTACTTAAAAAACCGGTCATACTACCAGTACCATAACGGATTTCAAATGCAGTACCATTTTGTTGATATGTAGTGGATTTTGTACTATCATATTTATTATGTAACAAACAAGCTACATTTGTATAGCTACATTTTTTCGATGGAACCCATAGATTTGAACTGCCTGTATCGAATATTACCTATTAATCAAATTAAGGTAAACAGGGTTAAAATTTCAAAAAATTAGCAGTGTAAAGGGTTAATACAAACATTAAATTTTTGCGGTGGTGTCCCAATAGAAATTTCACCATAATATTGTGCATCAGCATAATTCGAAAGTGGTTCGGGAAATGGACCAAATGATGTTTTCCAATGATGAAAATGATGATCTAATAATGCTAGCTTAAGATTTGAACCAACTTCCAACATACGTGAACGTAATGTTTGTTGACGATGTAATGGTATACGAAATAATTCCATTCCAAAAGTCATATTGACCACCATCATCATGATGGTCAACGATAAAAGGGTTAATTTCATTTTTTTTGATCTGATTGATTTGATTGAAAACGACAGCAGAAATTGGATCAAACGACGACGACGATGAATGAATGAAAAACAAAACAAAGAAAAATGCGTTGTAGAAATTTTGATTTTTATATCAAGGATTTGGTTTTGGTGAAACCAAAAATTTTCTGTTTGATTTTGATCATTGATTATGGTAAATGTTGATGTGGATGTGTATGTGGATGATGATTATCAGTGAAAATATTTTACTGTTGTCGATAAACAATGTTTGAAATTAGCTGTCGCTGATTGTTTGTTTGTTTATTTGTTTGCTATTTCTTCTTCTTTCTTTTTGATTTTGAAAATGATGATAAAAATATGAAGAAATATGATCATCATTGACAAAATACACAGCTCATGACAACCGACCACAGTAACAACAACAACGACGACGACGACGAAATTACAAACTTTTTTTTATTTATTTACTTTTAGTTTTGAAAGAAATCCAATAAAAAAGATAATTAAAAGGCAATTAAATCTAATCAATTAATAATGAAACAAAATATTTCAATATCGATTGCTAATCGATATTGATTGATTTGATTTGTGGAATTTTTTTTCTTCTTCTTCAACGAAAATGATGCCATAAGAAATTAGATAAAAGGATTACCACAATCGTTATTAGCTTAATGTTGCCCATAGAAGAAAAAAAAACGATGAACGACAACGAAAAAAAAAATCGATGTTCGATTAATCGCGATTGTAGTTGTTTCCCGATTGTAGTCGATTGTTTGGTGGTTGTTTTTTTTGTTCATATTTCTCGCCAATTAACAGATAAAAGATGTGATTATCATTTGTAAAGAAAATGTAACAACAGAAAAACGTTTTTACCAAAAATCATTATTATTCTTGTTTATAATGATGACCTGTGTAAGTGGAAATAGTAAACAAAAGTGATGGACGATTTTTTTTGTTCATCACCATCATAATAATCACGATAATCGATCAATTTTGATTCTTTTGAACTGTCGCCCATCACTATCGATTATAATCGATAATCCATTTTCTCCAATTTTTTAGATAAAATTAGATAATTGATTTGATCTTTATTGTTGCTGTTGTTGTTGGTGGTTTGATCTTTTTTTCTTTATCGCTTCCGTTTGACCAACAAATTTGACATTAGAATTGATCGATACAATCGATTATATCGATCAAGATCGATTGTATCGTCTTACTTGAATGTCGATGACATCTATGGTAATACACACAAACACACAAATTTGATATCGGAAACAAAACAAAACAAAACAAAATCGATCCTCAATAATCGATCGAATCGATTGATCGATCAATCAAATAAAAAAAAATGACGAAAGAATCGATAACAAAAAAGCAAAAATTGGCCTTTTTTCTTCTTTTTTTCTTCGTTTTTCTTGATTGACATTCATTCAAAAATGTTCGAACAAAGATCATTTGATTGATTGATTGATCGATGATCGATGATTATTCATCAATCAATCAATCAATCATTATTTTTTTTGTGACTTATATAATCATCATCATCATCATCAAAAACAGCAACGAAACAAAACGAAGTAGAAAAAGGATTATATAAAGGTCATCATCACGATGATGATATCGGTTTTCATTTTGTGATCATGATATTATCTCTCTCTCTCTCTCTCTCTCTCTCTCCTTTGATATCTTCCGATATTACATCCGAACAACAAACAACAATGTTATTCGAATCGAATAACAAATCATAAGGGTGATGATCACGTTTCAACGAAAAAGCGATGAGGATGAGGATGACGATCACTATCATCCTCATCATTATCATTGACATTCATGTTTCTGGATGGATCTGTCATCAGTGATCAGTGATCAGTGATCCATGATCCATGATCAACTACCGATGATAATTAGGGCAATCATCTGCGTTGATGAGAAAATTTCCATAAATTTTTAATGACGGAAAAGAAGAAAAAAAAATTTTTCGGAAAAAGAAATTCGAACGTTTTTTTGTTAAACACACACACAGATTCATAAACAGCGTAAACCATTGATTATAATTAATTCAAAATATTTTTCATTTTCGGTTGTTTTTCAACATTTTTTCTTCCATTCAATCAATACATTTCTGATGATTGATTTGATTGAAAAATGAAAAGAAAGAAAAAATTTCACGAATTTAAAAACATTTTGGGATCATTATCATCATCATCATCGACATCATCATATTACAAACAGCAACAAAAAAAATCAAAAATCAAAAACGTGATAACATCACCACCATCATCAATTCTAAATGATGATGATTTCTCTCGTATCATCACCAATTTTTAATTCACATCAACAACAACAACATTATCGAAATGGTGGCCACACATTATCGCTTCAGGATTTTTTTTTTAAATAGACATTTTTCAAATGTTTTCATCAAGAAGAAACTATAACACCAACTATGTAATTAAAGAAAAGATTTTTGAAAGTTTTGAAAATTTCAAAAAAAAACTTCAAAGATAAATTCGATCATTCGCATTGTTTATCTTTTCTTTTCTTTTCCGTTTCTTGCTCACTTTCTCGAACGCCATTCATATACAATGTATGTTTTCGAATGTTCGAATATCCCCGACCAAATTTAACCGAATTAAAATCGGAAAAATCCCAAATCGATAATCATTTTAATTAAGGTAATTTTTTCTTTCGTTCGTTTAATCGATCTTTTTACTTTTACTTTTTTTCATTCATTCATTCAAAAAGATAGAAGAAGAAAACCTGCTTTAATCATCATCATCATCAATTGATGCGGTACAAAACGATTACAGAAACATCGTCGTCGTCGTTTATCTCCAAATGCACGAACATCATTCATTTTTCTCTATAATGTTTTCTGTTGTCCACAAATCATCCCAATCATCATCATCATCATAATTATTAATTAGATTTCCGTAAAGATTTCCGTTATTCATTTTTATATTCAAAGATCAAAGATCAATGAAAAAAAACGATGCAAAAAATGATTAATTATTTCACTCAATGAAAATTGAATCATTACACACACACACACAGAATAGCCAATCTATCGCAACAAAAGGTGGTCGGTAAACATTCAATTTGGGGTGGGATTATTTCAAATTCAATCAATGAAAACAAACAAAGAGCGGTTTTTCACTTTCAACAGAAAAAAAATTAAAAAAAAAACAACGAAAAAATGTTTGACCAAATCATCATTGTTTTTTGATTTTTTGATTTCATTTTCAATCAGAAAAAAAATCCAACTGTTTTGCATTATATAATTGATCGTCGTCGTCGTCGTTTGATCGTTGACCTAAACACTCTGTTGGACACACTGTTGGTCAGTTAATCATCATTGTTTTTTTCATTGAACTTTTTCACATTCATTCATCATTGTAGCGTGATTTATGCCACTGGGAAAGAAAGAAAAATAGACCGAAAATGATTCCGATGATAATGACATCTTTGTTGCTGAGCGAAATACTGACCGAAACAAACATAGATTCCATTGATTGATGATGATGAATGTCAATGGCAACAACAACAAAAAAAAATGTTCCATTTTTTTTTTCTTCCATCGAAAAATTCTATTTTTCCCAACGATTATGGTGGTCTATTTTCATTTTTTTCAAGAAAAAAAAATAACTTTGATTTTTCATTTTTTGAATGTCAAGTCCGTTCATGAAAAAACAACAACAAAAATATCTTCAATATTGTTCCAATAAATGATCTATTCGTAACTGACGTAACGATGGTAACGTTTGTTTTGGACAGCAATTTCGAACGTTCGAACATTCGAACATTCGAAAAACATTCGAAAAAAAACAGGAAAATTCGTTCCATGATCATCATCATCATTATCGGTCAAAATTCAGCAAAAAAAAAGTGGAAAAAGTAAGTAAAAATCTCTTTTAGAGATTAATTATATTCAGTTTTTTTTCTACTTTTAATCCAGAAATTAATGATGATGATGATGAAAGTGTTTCCGCTTGAAAAAATCGTGTGTGTGTGGGTCGATCATTAATATCTGAGCATCCGTCGTCCAAATGGTTTATCTCATCATCAATTCATTTTCATATCAAAAAAAGAAGAAAAAAATCAATGAATAAAAAGTGTTAAAAAACACACACTAACAACAACACTACCGAAATGGATTGATGATTGAAAAANTGACCAAATCATCATTGTTTTTTGATTTTTTGATTTCATTTTCAATCAAAAAAAAAAATCCAACTGTTTTGCATTATATAATTGATCGTCGTCTTTGTCGTTTGATCGTTGACCTAAACACACTGGTCAGTTAATCATCATCATCGTCGTCGTCATTGTTTTTTTCATTGAACTTTTTCACATTCATTCATCATTGTAGCGTGATTTATGCCACTGGGGAAGAAAGAAAAATAGACCGAAAATGATTCCGATGATGATGATGATGATGATAATGACATTTTTGCTGTTTCTGAAGAAGAAAGCTGACCGAAAAAAAAAACATAGCATTCATTGATTGATGATGATGAATGTCAATGGCAAAAAAAAATGCTCCAATTTTTCCATCAAAAATTCTATTTTTCCCCAATGGTGGTCTATTTTCTTTTTTTTCATGAAAAAAAAACTTTGTTTTTTGAATGTCAAGTCCGTCCAAGAAACGAAACGAAACGAAAAAAAACAACAACAAAAATATCTTCAATATTGTTCCATAAATGATCTATTCATAACTGACGTTACGATGGTAGTAACGTTTGTTTTGGACAGCAGTTTCGAACATTCGAAAAAAAAATAACAGGAAAGTTCGCTCCATGATCATCATCATCATTATCGGTCAAAATTCAGCGAAAAAAATAAGTAAGTAAAAAATCTCTTTTAGAGATTAATTATATTCAGTTTTTACTTTTTTCTACTTTTAATCCAGAAATTAATGATGATGATGATGATGATGAAAGTGTTTCCGCTTGAAAAAATCGTGTGTGTGTGTGGGTCGATCATTAATATCTGAGCATCCGTCGTCGTCGTCCAAATGGTTTATCTCATCACCGCCATCAATTCATTTTCATATCGAAAAAAAGAAAAAAAATCAATGAATA